GACGACGCGATGATCGAGCATCGAGGCGAGAACGGGCGTTGAAACGAAAGAGCCTAGATGCCGTATTTCCATGATGCGGCGTCGATGAGCCGAGAACGATCGTGGCTATTCCATTTTCCATTCGAGTGGATCCGCACGCTTAATCGATAGTTACAGCGCAGACACGCCCGGCGCTAGCTCCGATAACTCGGTCACCACGAGCACGGAACTTGGAAAGGTCAGCGAGCCAGATGCAAAATCATTTCGCGACGACGTTATCGACGGTCGGCCAAAGGCGATATCGATCCCGTTTCGTGCGATTTAACGGGACACGTGGAACCGAAGAGGCGATCGACCGTCCATCGAACGTCTCCTTCCTCTCCTTCGTTATCGCCCGAGTTCTGACTTCCATCCTTTTGAATCGCACGGTAGACGATTCGTTGAATTAATAATCGACTCGCTCGATAATTCTTAGAATTGACAACGATCGAAAGATTGATCTCGATACCAACGGTAGGTACGACTAGTCGGTGGCGCACTCGTCGGTGTATCGTTCGTTCCGTCTCGTTACGCTTTCGACGAATAGAGCAGCGTTCGTCATCCGTTCGAACAACAAAGCGCAAATAATTGATGAAATTCTCCAATTGAGATACATTATAGACGATGATTCATCGAATTTATTATTATTCGTCCAAAGATAAAGGCTAAACGAGCGAAATACGAAGCTAAAGATGCGAGAAAAAAAGGAAAAAAGCAAACTAAGAGCGATAAATTTATCGAAGAAGTTTAAAAAGAAAAAAAAACACGTTAAAACTTTCGTTCGTATAAATGCGCGATCGATAAAATAATTCGGATCTATCGAAAAGAAATGTAACGAAGGCGCGAATCGACGAGTGTTTTCGTTAATAGAAAATATCGTGGGATCGATTAATGTAACTTTTATTTACGATCGGGTTGATAATCGTTTAAATGCCGATTAAACGAAAACTCGTCGCGGGAAATGGTAGGCGAATAAATTGAAGGTGGGCGCGGTCGCACGCAGACGCATTCATTCGCGGGCAAATTACACGCTCGTTCGTCGAATAATCGATGTTTCTAGTTGTCCGTGACATCGTTAAAACGACACGTTTTGCTGATGCTCCGACGGTGGAATAATTGGCGCGTGAGAACGGGCCAACGGACCCTCCTATGAATTTATGAACAACACCTATATATGCGATATGCGTTGCAATGGCGCGTGGTTATTCTTACGCGCAGACACGACGCGTTTTCACAGCCAATTAAAATTATATCGCGGTAACAAGTCACGTGTAATTGTCCGGTAAAATGAGATCGCGGTCCGGCCTCCCAGGTGACGACGGTAATGAAAGAAAATTTATTGAGATGAACGACCGCGCGAATTCATGACCGTACCGCGGCAATGTATCGCGTGCTGACCACCCACCTCCCGACCATTGTCCTTTTAATATTCACTTTCCTCTGATAAACCGCAATGATATCTATTACGACCAAATTGCATCTTAATTATTTTTCCTCTTCGTTCCTCTCTTTCTCTCTTTCTCTCTCTCTCTCTCTCTCCCCTCGATATCATCAATGACGGTCGAGAATATAATTCACTCCTGCTCTTTTTTTCTCGCTTAGAAATCGATGGGAATAAGGATAAGGAGGGAAGTACGAGTAGCTCGTTCTCGAAATTGAAAAAACAAAGGCTAAAGAATCTTTTGAAAAAGGATTTTTATAAATTCTAGATGGAAACGAACGAATGAATGCGAGAACGACTGTCGATTTATCGATTTATCCCCCGATAAAACGAGCATCGCCGGCACCGTAAATACATAATATCCAATTGGATTAAGCTCGATGCGTATAAAACTATGGAACAATTTACCGGGAACGATTCGGCTACGATTTGTTGTTACGGGACGGCTCGTTTGTTGTAAAACATCGTGGTTGTTTTCGGTTTCAATAGTAACCGGCCGCATCCAGGCGAAACGTTGTTCACGGATTAATACGATTTTCCCTGTCCCGGCCGTCAACGTTGGCCAACGATCCCGCTCCATTCCCATTCCTCCACCCTCGGTATTCGATAACCCATCCGACGCGATTACTTTTCAGTTTCAATCGCGACCAAACCGACCGCCCGCCTTGTTTTCATATCGATCCTGCAGATGCGTTACAACCTTCGATCGCGTTCCACGATATCGTCGCTGTTACACTTTCACGCTTATGTTTGCCGTACGCTTTACGACATCGCTATGGCAACTCGATCTACCATTCGACCACGTTATTTGCCTTCCCCTCCCTGCCCGTTCCGCGTATTACTCGCGAAACGAGCTTTAATCGACTCGGGCCGGTGCTTCGTTATCTTCGATGGCCGGCCAATCGGCTAATTAATTAGAGAATCGTTGACGCGTGAACGCGTGTGGAATTCGCGGTGATCTCGGATTAAATCAGCCGGCCGGGGCGAGCCGAATAATGCAAGTTTTCGTTTGGAAAAATCGTTGAAATCGAGGGAAATGGAAAGAGAGAGAGAGAGAGAGAGAGAAAGGTACGTCGTGTCGTCTTGCCACGATAATTAATTCCGTTTCATTAAGTTGGCGATACGTTTAATTATTCGGGGAACAGATTTGGAACAGGAATGTTGGAAACGGAAGTTGCGTTTAATAATTCCCCGCGGTATCCCATTTCACTGATTTTCTCCCCGCATTTTCTTCCGTTTCGAAACGCTTCCCTGGATTTTGCGATGAATACCAACGATACGAAATTTAGTAAGTTTTCCAATTCGAACAAGAATACGTGACTTCAACTTCGTTGCATTCCTCTGTCGAATGAAAATTGAATTAACGTAACGTCAACAGCGTATATCGTGTACATCAATATAATTGATAAAGAAAGAAAGGAAAAGAACGATCGAAAATAATATCTTCGATATATACGTATGTATCGTAAAATGGTAAATTTATTTGACTCGAAATCGCTCGTACTTTACACCGTAACTCCTTTTTAGAAAGGATTTCCATAAAATTCCATATGCAATTTGGTTGATAATCCTTCTCATCCATAGAATTCGAAACACAAGAGAAGAGAGACGAGTAAATTTGTATGCGGGATACGCATGCAAATACGAAGCGCAGAAATTCGAGAAATTTCCTCTATTTCTTGATCTACTGTATAAAAATCGTGCGCAGTGACGTTGATAAAGGATACGAAAAAAAAAAAAAAGAAAAAAAATTCCAAAAGAAGAAATTCCAAAAAAAAAATAAACAGAAAAGATGCCGATTGATTTTTATTACTTGGAGTACAGTCCACCGTGTCGGTCGGTTCTATTGCTGGCAAAAGCGATCGGCGTTCATTTGAACTTGAAAACGATCTCTCCTTTGAAAGGGGAACACATGAAATCCGAATTTGTGAAGGTAATTCGCTCGTTTTATTTGAAGTATATATATATATATATATATCCACGCTTATAGTAAAACGTATTTTTCTTTTTTTTTTTTTTAATTCATCGATAAAAACAATTTTGATCTCAGTTGAATCCGCAACACGTAATACCGACCATAGACGATAATGGCTTCGTCTTGTGCGAAAGGTACGCGATTATCCTTCGATTGCATCGAATTCGCATTTCGATAATAATTCAATAATTCACAGCCGACCAATCATGGGATACTTGGTGAGCAAATACGCCAAGAACGACTCTCTGTATCCGAAAGACCCAAAGAAGAGGGGTATGGTGGATCAAATGCTGTATTTTGATATCGGTACCCTCAACGAGAACGTGGTCAAATGTTACGTACGTATATCGTGAATAATTTCCATTCTTATATTCTTATATTTTTTTTTTTTTTTTTAAACACCATTTTT